CTGTAATCTTTTCCGGAATGTCGTCGAAATGTAATATCTCCAAATCCAGATCTTGGTCCATATTAGTAGTATGACAATATTTTCAAGCGATGAAAAAAGCGACAATATATATAATAATATGACAAAAAATTGTAAACAACAAGATAATATTATTTTAATATGAAACCTTGTCAGTAAACTTTGTCCTCGGAGAGTACGTCTTTAATGGAATGATTTATTACATTGCAGAGTGCTTCTCTAGATTGTAAGTTTATGTTTGACCGGACATTTTGACACGTTACCGCGCAACCTCGTATACTTGTGGCTTCTGGCCTTGCGTCGTATTGTTAGTATTGCGTCTTATTGTTAGTATTTTATTTGCATGCAAGCACAGAACTATGTTCGTGTAAACATGGGTAAAACTCGCAGAACTTTTAAGTTATGTATTTCATCATTTACGGACACTTTGCGTAAGCTTGTAATTTACTGCAGCAGAAAATACTTAATTACATATCTGCACTCCACACTCTACAATCATCTGCACTCTACAGTTTTATATCTATATAATGTAATACTATTATTGTAACTAAAAAGCAAGTACAGTATTTATGTATCCACTGGTTCCGTGGTTACAATCGTTAGTCTTATGTATTCTGTATTAAGTACTGTGCAGTAAACATTTTTCGGGTGCTGTGTGCGTTTTCTATACTGAAGATCATCCTCTGACCACTTGTATTTCACAAACAAACAAAATATTGCAAACGCTGGTAATCCTACAGAAAATATGAAAATTTTTTTTTGGCCACTAAAACTGACCACTCATCTACGAATCCATAAAAACGGCGAAGAATTACGTTTTGGGCGTTAAGACTAAATAAATATGTCTATGAGGAGAAGTATAAGTATTTTGAATTTTCAAGTCGAAGAGTGACTCCGGGGTGTGTTAATGTTTTTTTGTATTTCTTGCGCTCTTCAAAGATGGTCGATCATAAACGTACGTTCAAAGATGTAGTTAACGCTCCTTCTGCAAATTCAGGTCTTTAGACATTGGGGATCTCTAAAGACGACTTTCTTTAAAGAATACTTCCTCGGACAAGTTTCTTTAGAGAATAGTTCCTAGTCCAATGATAAATGTAAAAATTCTCAAAATGATGTATTTTCAACTTCAAGCATCTCTTCACAAAATTTGTAGATATTTTGGCTCTTCAAAGAAAAAGTGCTAATGTTCGAATAACAATCGCGTTTCTTTAAAGAACTGTTTATCTTTAAAGGAATGTTACACTTTTGTCCACTCCGGCGCGGCATAGTCAGGATTCCTTCTCATTCACTGCATCTATTTTGCTAATAAATATCTGCTTCGATAGCGATAACAAAGCTCCATACTTCGCAACATTAACGGTTAATAATTTGGGCAGCTAGTTCTAAGATACAAACCATGCAAAAGCTTTCTTGAACTCTAAAGTATACTAGGAAATTAAATTTGAACTGCTGTAGAAAGCTTCTAATAACAATATCCTTTGTAGATGGCTCATGGATTTTTTCTGCAGTACATATCCTGTTGCTTTTTGTCTACGGTAGCCCGTTTTTAATCTTGGATATCGTATACAGAACTGCATTATTCTCTTGCCAGCCATCTCTACACAGCACAAACGGCAAAAATTACATCGAGTTTTGACAGAGACACGTTGTGCACCGGCGCTTTCTGTCGCTGATCGATAATATCGTATTTTGCAGACCACCACAAGAGTAGCCGACGAACAAGACAAATTTCTTTGAACAGGGGCCATGCAAACTCTACCTCCACGACCAAAGCGCTCTCAAAAAGGTTACCGGTTGAAATCGCGTTCGTGCGCGTAGCCTAGCAAATACGAACATTGCGTATATGATGTGGTCTTGCAGATGTCGTGCGGTATGCAGTCGGCTGATCGGCGGCTGTCTTCGCATTATCACGGGAAGAAATGGTGTCCCGATAGTGTGCTAGATTTACAGCTGGTGAGCAAACACAGCTGTAAATCTAGCAATGTAAAAGTGCACTAGAACACCTACGAAAACAGACGGCTCTAAGTCTAATTGGCTGCTAATCTGCCTAGTCATCTTACATAATCTAGAAAACCAGAAAAACTTTATTCGGTGCCAAGATATGAATGTGGAGCTGAGCTACAGAGCGCCAACTTTTTCTTCGTACCAGTCAATGTGAATTTCTCCTATCAGCTGAGCGTCTGGCTTAAGTACTACAAATTACAAGACAACGACCGATTTTATTTTTACAATGTAAGTGATGTAACGAGGACTAATTTTCTTTTTGCAGTTTATTACGACGTTGTATCTACGCTAATGCGACATAATTCGAGCTGCAAGTGTTCCACAATATTTTCAAACTGCGAAACGGTTTCGCAGTTTTTGTATATATTAGTAGTGCTTCTGACTTGCGCTCAAATTCAAGATTTGGGCGGATAGCTCTACCGCGCACTACGCTCCGCTCTTCCGCAGCTGCAAAACGATCATTCCAATTTTTATGCTCGATTAAATTATCAAATCCACCGAGCGGAATGAACCGCGTTAACGCGGTAAACGTCCTGGGCAGCGATCAACAGATGCGCTACGGATGCGTCGTGGACGTGGCTGAGGATGGTCTCCTTGTCGATCTCGGTCCCAATCGGCGAAGGGAATATGCGCCATTTCACAGCGTCTTTCTGGAAGGCATGCGGATTGATCCACCGCAACTGGCCTACTGCCTTGCCAAACAATGGGGCCAAGTGGAGATTCTCGTGCCGGAGACGCCATCGGGTCCTTGGATTTGGGTCCCGGCGGAAATGCGCAGTATTGGCCGTGACTTCTCCATGGTACAGTATGGAGCGGCCCTTTTCCAGTGGCGAAGTCCGGACAGTGGCGTGCTGTGCACCGACATCGTCCCCATCCAACGCTTCCGCGTCGCTTCAGTGGCCGAGAAGGCCTTCAATCCTGCTCGGCCTTCAATCCTGCTGATAGCGACAATGTGGTCGGGCGGTTTACCTTTGTGGAGCTCAGTATGGACGTAAGCACGGAATTCCGTTCATTACCAACTGAAGAAGCCGGCGCACTAATTAAGCGATTGAATGGCTGTTGCCTGCGGTTTTACTGCGTGCCGGTTGTCGCGGTGAATGTAGTGGACGGCTCGCTAAGATTCATTTGCCAGATTATGCATAGGAAACGACTCCTTATTCCCGCAGACGCTTGGTCGGTAAGTGTCGCAGCGGATTTCCAACGCTGAATGTTCCGCTTAGTGTAGATTGTTTATTTGTCAGCTGGCCCTGGCTCGCTTCCAGGAGCGCGTGCTCCGCATCCTCCAGTCTCCTCCTGAAACTCCGGCAGCGGATAACGACATGACGTTAGTGCTACCGGTGGAATTGTGGCAGGAGGTCTTTTCTCATCTGCGCACTGAACATCAGACAAAACTGCGCGCTGTGTGCACAACGTGGAACCGGATCATGGATGCGTCAGCGCTGCGCTCCACGATCGTCGTTCGAACGAGGTGTGTCCGTGTCGATTACTACAGCTATGCCGGTTTCCTTGACCTGGCGACTGTGTACAAATGCCTACGCCCCGGCACCCACCGCGTCATCATCACGTGTCCCCAGTACGCGGAGTGGGACCATAAGTATGCAGCGATGGTGTTGAATATGATAAAATCAGTGTCTGATCATCAAGCCGGCATCCGACTCCATTCCGTCCTTCTGCACCGCGTCAGATTTGACTTGCTGATTAACTCGAGTTCCTTATCGACCTTCTCGACAATTGCGGAATGTGGCCTGCATCAGCCGGATCCTGTGAAGCCGAGTCCGGGATACGGTTATTATTGGCTGGAGGATTTAATTTCCTTGTGCTGTACTCTACCGTGCGACACTATCCAGATCGTGCCAACAGCGGTCCATACTTTGGCCTGCAACTTTGAAGTAACATGGAGCAGATACAAGTTTACAACACAGGTCGACATGCGCCCTACGCGACTGCCCCCTGGAGATGATTTCGGCTGCGCACTGTGGGACGCGTTGGAAGCGGGATTGCCGATGTTGGGTGAAGATGAGCCACACAAGCTGCTCGAGTGGATAGAAAAGGGCTGGAATTCGAAGCGAGACGTTTGCACGGTAGAATCCACGGTCTACAGCTTTCTAACGCTGCTCTAGCAATCTTTCAGTGTGGTATCCGTGCAAGGATTACGTTTTGTAGACGCTGTGCGCGCTATACTCCACGGATCCCCGTCCGCCGTCGCATATCCGCGAGAAGAAGTGGTGCGTGGACGGCCTGCAAGGTTTGGAGTGGGAGAAATTGTCGCCGATGGCCCAGCGCTTTCTCGTTGCGCTGCGAGCAAAAATGTACGCATAGAAATGATATCTTTTGCAAGCTGTGGTCAGCGCTGTGCGCTGAAAAATAGCAGCTTAGTTCGGTAATTTAGCGCGTTCGTCAATCCGTAATTATTCACTTTAACTCTGTTAATTCACTTTACTTCTACTGCTAATTTCTGGCTCGCCTCAGTACCGGCGCTTTCACGTGAGGTCGCAGCCACATAATAAATTTGAGGAAAAGTATTTTTGTCGGCCTAGTTTTCCGAGAGGACATAAATTGCCTCTATAAATTGTAACGGCTGTTTATTCTATGTAAAAATCTGTGTTATATGTAAAATGTTCTATGTGAAATTCTATGTACAATGATACATGAATACGTGAAACTATGTTCTATGTTAAATTTATATGTAAAAACTATGTACTAGATTTTTTTATGCAAAAGACGAGGAGTCACTCAGTGAACCCGATACATGGGTAGCCTTTCAAATGCCGTCAAAACATCTTTAAAAGCGTGTGTGCCAATCTAAAAGCGTGTACTGTGTACTGCATGCAATAATTTAATTTTGTGTTACCTACTCGTAGGTCGTTAAACAATGAAATATAAAGTTATTATTTTGAACTTTATAATAAGCAACCACAAAATACAAATTTCAAGACTTTCTAAATTCAGAAAACTTGTAATGCTAAAAAAACGCTGCGCACACATTTAAGTGCATTTTCCTAGTAGCTGTTTTATTACGGTTTATTGACTGTATTATGCAGTTATATCAGCACACGCTTTGGCAACTCGGTTCTTAGAGTACAGGCGATGGTAAAAATTGGATCAGAAAGTGTATATGCGCATTTTTCGTTTCCGCTGCGGGAATCATTGGACACGACGCGGCACACATTCCGTTGCATGGATACTGCCATAGGACCCCAGCTTGGCCGAGTCGGTCATGCAACCGCATCCGTTGCTGCGCCTGGTCGTACATCTTACTGCTCATCTGAAATCCACGTCGTTAATGCAGTTCTACGTTTTATAACATTTACACGGATGAATTTGGCCATTTTCAACCTGCGGATAAGCGGTACAATTTGCTTAACACTAACACATTAATGATTACGCTAAGCAAAACAGGTTAACCCATGATTTTACTGGTTGCACGAAACTCATTCCCAGAAGCTCCAGTGAATGCGGGAGGCTTACCAGTCATCCGAATCCGAGCCGCAGTAATCGTACTCCAAGCCGTACTCGTACTGAGGAAACAAGCGTTCCTCAATGATTTTGATGAAATACCGCGTGGTGCAGTCGCCCTCCATTTGCGAGAGGAAGCGTAACGTAATGCGCGACAGCGTATCGAATGGAATGTCCTCGGGTCCATCCAGACACCACTTTCGTCCTCGGTGCTGCGATGCCAGACGCGGATCAGCAGACTGAGTTGCGCACAACATCTGCGGAATAAAAACAGGGTGCACCGAAGTTAATGGCGGTGTAGAATAATCTTCGAATTCTTATTTAAGCGATGCTAAAGTGGATAATTAACCTTTTAACAGAACCGAAGACCCGGCAGATCGTACCATAAGAGTATGAAAATCAGCAAATTTCAAAAAGCGATAATACTAAATAGTTACATAAATAAACAGGGAATAATCTTACGTAAGAAATATGATTTGTTGCTTTACCCAGTATGTCCAGACTTTATCCAGTTTAAAAAAGGGCAGCCCATTACATGCATATCTTTTAAATGAATAAGAAATACTAAATGCAAATACTATTTAAATACTATGTTAAAAAATCAAAGTAAAAAAAAACATCACAAAGGAATTTCAGACCAGCAGAGAAAGGATAAGAACACTAAATTAATGATGCTAAAAAATATTAATACATTAATTTAAATTTCCATTTTAGTAATTGGAAATAAATTTAGATAAATAATAACATACAAAAATTACGAAAACTGGCCAGTCGATCAAAGCTTCAATGCCGTATTAGCTTAATATTTGTTTTCAAACCGTGCATTGTAAACACATGCACAGCTGCTGCAGGCACAAAAATTTAACAGAGAAGAGGTGGCTAGAGTTTTCGTTGTATATGGAGGAAGGAGTTTTTTAATCATATGTGATCAGTCAACAGCTCGTCTCACCTTGCGCATTTCGGTACCATATACTAGTTCACGGCCGGTTTCTGCTGCGACCAGCGTAAGCGCCCTCATCCATCTCGACATCCCACTCGACCGGTCGGTGCTCGGCATCGGCAGCGCCGTCTCCAGCGCATCCCACACGGCGCAGTCGAAATCCCTGGTCACTGTTATGCCAGCCGTATCGATATAGGTTTTGTGGTGCAAATAAATGGTTTCGTGGGGCGAATATATCGTCTTCTTGTCCAAAAACGTATAATGAAGATGGACGGAGCAGTTCACAAAGCGGAAAAAATCACACGGAACGCCGCGGCATGAGGCGATGAAGTAGTCCAGCCGGAAGTAGCATCGAGCGCCCTCCACGTACACCCAATTCACCGCTTTACTTCCAGATCCATGGAGCTCGCACGCGCGCGGCAAATAACCCGCTCCGATTCGCAGTCGGCAATGGAATCCCACCAGATAGAAGGTCTTCAGCCGAGCGCCGGTATGTTCCTGGCCGATGTAGCGGAGGACATCCAGCACCTTAAACACATCGTTGTCCTTCATCAAGTGGCATTTTTCATCCGCAACAACATCCTGTAAGGATGGACGGGCGGGGGGCTTTCGCACTCGGCGCCCATCACAGACAATCAGGCGATGTGTCGCTGGGCGGAGACATTTAAAAATGGGTGCCGTCATGTAGTAGACCAACCGGTCGGACTGGGTGGCCTCGAAATCGGCGCTGTTGACGATAACGTTTGCTGTCAGCGTCGGCGAATCCAAAATCAAGTTCCAAGCGGCGCAGACTAAGCGCAGCCTGTTCTGTGTGCACGTGCCGAGATGAGAAAACACTTCGCGCCACAGTTCCGTCGGTAGCGCTGGGAAGTCTACTTTGGCACCGCAGTCAGCCGGATGGCCAGTCATCTCGGCAATCATCCGTAGAACTGATGCAGAAAGTTCGTTTTGCAGTTTTTCTAAAGCCGAATCCTGGAAAAAAAAACGAACTTTTAATTCGGAGCAAAGGATGTAGAAATAATATATCTTACCACAAAGCGCCAGCCTTCGAGGTGGATGTACCACACGTATCCGGTGACGACCTCCACAAACGGCACCGGTCCGCTGCTTTTCAGACGCTTCAGGATTTCTTTCGCCGGCAGCGTGTAGTTCACCGGCACTTTGATAAAACGCTTGGTGAAAGTGTTCCTTTTGAATCTGTCGGGCCAGCTGGCCCCCGTTGGCGGGGTCCACGTTGTAGCAACAATCGAACGCGGTTCCGGCCAACGATGCTCCGCCCACCAGTGCCTCGGGACACTCCAGCGTATCCGTTCAACCGGGACCAGATCCGTACGCTCGCCTTCATCCCACCATTTCACAACGGCCACAATGTACGTGCTATGCTGTGTCCCGTCCGTCAGATTGATCATTTCAGCCGGGAACCAAGTCCACGCGTCGGAGGAACTATCTCGCTCTAACACTTCCACGGGAACGGGAGAACGGGCGCGAGTGTAGACGCTAGCGATACGTTCGCCGTCCACCGGTGGATCTGTGCGGCAGCGAAATACGCGGTGGAAAGGAACCAATTCGCGGCGTCGTTTGGGACACAGGAAGTCGATAATGAGTCCCCGGTTCGTCACGTCCACGACACGGCCATAACGGAACAGGCCGTCGTTAGCCACAACATCCACACGGTTGGTGGCGCTGATTCCGCTCCACATGGTCGGTATTCCGTTCAAAGAGGATGTTGTATTTATTTGAGACACTGTTACTCTGTGCGCTTAAATGACTTTAAATAATGATGAAAGTTCACCACACTACAGAGAGAACTCGTTTTGCGGGCACCAGCAGCGATTCCTGTCTGTCAATGCTGCTGAAGAATTTGTATGATATATTATTAGTCTTTCGGCGTTCCTTCCGTTTATCAAGCATTGTACAGCGATACGTGCGGAATTCAGTTCCGCATGATTACTCACCCATCTCGACCTGAATGCGCTCAGTTTGTAGACTGTACAGTAGTTGACTGTAGCAAAAAATCATACATCGGTTTAACGTTTATGCCAGCACACGTCTGGGTATTGTATGTACTATCATTCTATACTCTGTACATGCGTTTGCATCACGTGCTGGAGTTAGGAGTACTCTTATTCAACATGCGATGAAATCATCCGCGCCGGTTGAATTACTATTATCTACTTCCAGAGTACTGCGGCATCGTTCAGGTAAGAAATGCTGCTGCATGTTCTCTGTAACTGCTGGCAAACATGTCATCAGTCGTACAGCATGAAACATATGTATTAACGGTTTTAACAATTAATATTTGGTATGCTCGTAATGCATACAAGCATCCTTTTTCCGAACAGGGTGTTTGTATCATGTATGTATATACTGTTCTTGAGAAATATCCGTTTTCTATGATTTTACTGTATTTGGAAAATATTCCTCTACCTATTAAAAGTGCAGCAATCGAACAAGTTAAGTCACAATTACTCACACAGACGCGGCCACTACGTGCTTGTCAGGGTTAATTGCCAAGAACAACGCGATAATAACTACGCCATAGTTACTCATTATGAAATCATGATTACATCATATGATCATACGGATGATTATCGATCACACCCTAAGCGGTACCGATCCATATATAAAGAGCCTATCAAAAGCATTCTATTTATTCGAGTATTATCCAGCCTCGTGATCACTTCTAATAGTGTACTGTATTGTGCATTAATGGTCAATGGACATTTGCCAATAAAAGGTTATTACACACCTGGATGTTTGGCTCCTTATATTTAACATAGGAACTGGCCATCGATGACCTTTACATAGGTCTCATACGCACACACACACACAGTAGGTACACACACAGGTAAAAGAACTCAGTCACACACCATTGTTGTGACAGATACAGAAATGTGGTACTTCCTAATATGTACTGGGTTAAAAGAGCACAACCTGAATAAGCATAAATGCTAACAGGTAAGTAGATGGAGAACATTAACGAAAAAAAGCAGCTGCGTAAAACAGTCTTAAAAACGATAACGCTATAAGAACCGGTAAATAGTGAACACGGAGGCACAGTCTAACTCTCGGTATATGTAGTTGAAAACACACGACGGATTTTGTGCAATAATCCCACTTATGTCTTGGAGTTTCAGATAGCGTCCCGCCGTACCAGAGTATCAGGATCAAGTTATATTTTTGAGCCCTACACAAGTGCAATGAAAACCATGAAAACACTGAGTTCAATGGTCAAGTAAATCCGAATTGTTCGATCCCGAACTTATTCCAAATTCCAGATTACACTTATAAAACGGTTCTCTTTCGCAGTTCTAGTTTACACGTTTCCGAATAATAAACCACTGCATTGTGATCAGTGAAGTATCAGAATTAGTCCTCGCAATTGGCGCTTGAGAAATGAGATCGCTTCACCTCTTTTATTTGGTTACTGGCTTACTATTTGAGTTGGTCGCCACAAGATACACGATTATGAACAAAGCAATTGGCGGGTCGGCCAAGTTTACGTCTGCCTTTTCACTTTGCCGTTTTTAGCATTACCTTTACCTTTGCGTCCGCTAAAAATTGTCACAGGGAAGTCACTGGAATATTCCCATGCCAAAATCAGTGAATGTGAGCAAATAATAGGAGACGATCGTACAGAAATAATGTATAAAGCGTTAAACATTGACAGTGCTGCCGACTACACTGTCTGTGCGAGGCTGCAAGTACTTTGTACTACCGACATTGCTGCGAGGAATAATCTATACGATCCAGTCTATCGATTTTTCTGTTAGGTGATCGCTCAAAAACCGAGCATGCGCTGTAATGCTTCCAGTAGAGCTGCTATGAACTTAAACTTGGGCTCTTGCAGACAGAAATTTAAATCAGTTCTACAGATCCTAACACCTGGCAAACCGTCTGTTGCCTAAAAATTACGGTTTCAGTTCCAAATGAGCGAAATGGCGGTTCAGTCTGCTTTAAATACGTATTTTTCGACGGGAAGACGTCGTGGATGCTTCAACCTGGGCTATGCCGTGATGGTTAATCTGATATCCGATGAATTGTACCTGGGATTTCTTCAAGACACGGACGAAGAGCGGCTCTTCATAGATTTCGACTGTGCCGATATCGCCCCTTGTTGGGTGGCAGCTAAACAAGTATGGATGACTTCCAGTCACGCGTACGGTCACCTCAACACACTGGAAGAAATGCAGTACGAACCTCTGCATGTTGCACTACGAAACACTCCCACCGGTCCCTATGTTTACCGCCCCGGGAAACTTGCGCAGCAAAGCACGGAGGGAAATTTATTTCTGAGCTGTGTCGTTGTGGATAACCTGGATAACGGGGAAGACTTTTACGTTGTACATCCCTGGCAGATAGCCGATACGAACAGCATCCCGCGGTTTCCAACGGATGAATCAAACTATCAACCTCACCCGCGAAAAGTGGTGATCCCGGTAAGCACCATGGAACTGTTGGATATCGATGAGTATCGTGTTATACGGATGCTGGATATGGTGTTCCGCGGGGGAAGACGCGAGAGGTCCTATCAGGAGTATGCGGATCGGTTGTTTGTGCGAATAAATGCGAAGAGCTTATATTTTCTTATTGGGCATATACAGTGCTCGCACGTTAGTCCACTCTGTTGCCCGAATGAATGGGAATCGAACTGGTCTTGGAAGATTAATACGGCGGAGAGAATTGCTGTGGGTGTGGAATACTATTTATCTCAGTACTGTGGAAAACCCGAACGATGTCCTGGCGGCCGCGAGTGCTCGATATCAGGTAGGTTGAGGTCATCAGAACGAAGAGAATATTCATTATTTTGTGAACGAATACGTTTGTATCAAGCATACTTTTCGTTTGGTGCAGACTGTACAGAGGATCATGAATTGTTCGAGTATATGCCGCCTGAAATCATCTCGTTCGTTCTGGAATCTTTGGATATCCACTCTAAAGTCAGGGCGAAACGGTGAGCGCTTTACCTTCTTTATATGATTTGCCGCTACTATGCTGTGCAGTCTCTCAATATCGAAGTTTACATTTCAATAATAACTAATACTTAAATGTTAATACAACTGATACTTTATTACTTAAAAAATAAATTCTCACTACTATAACCGATACTGATTCGTAATTAAGGAAGTAGCAATTATATTAGGTAATACCATACCAAGTCGTTCCCTTACGATAATGCCTAAAAGAAAAGTACATGTAAAATCTAAATACAATAAGCACATTTAGTGTACAGAACATGCGCACTGTGGGATCTCTTGCTGCCGGATCCCGCTTTTAACGCGTGCATCATTCTGGACCTGGCTAATCTCAGCACGCAATGGCCGCTTTACCGAAAAACAGAGGGCTACCTGCTAGCGCGCTTACTGCACCACACCGTTAACCGCAACACTCACGCCTTAGTTCTCCACAATCTCTTTCACCGCAACACGGACAACGGCGCTCTCAATAACTATTATCTGTTGCTTATCGTGCAGCTGCTAAAAATCAAGTGCATACTCCCGTTGATCATGCTGATGAATCTGCGCGTGCGCGTTGGCAGACTATATCCAACCGACGAAGATAATCCAGATGATGAGAATTGGAGTGTCATGTATTTCCATGCGCTGGATTTGACGGATGTGTGCCAACGGTTGTTCATCAGAAACTACACGGTGGATTTTGACGCTTCTCCATACTCCGCCGACTTTCTGGGCTGTGCGTTTCAGCATCCAATGCCGGGATTTGTCGAATCTAGGGGATCTTTCTCTATGAGTATCAGGATCCCCGAGATGAGCTTGCCTTATGCCCGTGGCAAAGCGGAGAAAGCAGAATGCCTGCAACAGTTCAAATCGGCGTTAATGGCCCACTGTCCTCCGGTGGATCCGGCAGTAAGGAAGCGCGTCATGGATCTTCACGCCAATTGGGTGAAAATGGTGCCGTATCCGGGACCGCAGTGGCTGGAGCTTCGGCAACTGCTGAAATTGTGAGCTTGCTCATTAAGACAGGCGTTTCTCACATTTTCAGGGTTATTTGTATATTGTAGCTACGGAACGTATAAAAACCCTAAACGCCGGCGATTTTGGAGATTTTGGCGGAAATTGGACGTGAGGCATTTGGATGGAGATTTTCTGGGAAATCTCCAGCTAATTATCTTGGGGCGGGAGTACCCAGACGGCGCTGATCTGGCACCCATCCCCGCGCCTACTCCCATCGATTTCGTGTGTTATGACAAAGGGGGTTGCTACCACTGTGGTTGGACAGAATGCACCGATACTCGGATTTCTAGACAGGTTTTCTTTTCCGTGGATGAACAAGCCAACCAGTGTTCAACAAATTTATGTGTTCTTCACTGAATCTGCTTTCGAGTTACGAAACTCTTCGAATTTGGAATCTGACATATTGGTGTTTCGTGCTAGGGTTTCTTTTTGATGTTTCTTATTTTGTGTTGCATAATCGCATTATACTGATAATAGATTGCATAATTGTGGGATTTTTCTTACGTAAATAACTTAAAAATGGTTGAATTGATTGAAAAATTTTCAAGATTGCACCACAGAGTCTGGTGTACGGAAAAATGCAAGTAATCCAAAACGAGCAAACTGTCCGGAATTTGCCAAAATAAAACGCTGGAAGAAAAATAACTAACTGGCCTAAGCAAACTTTATTGTATGTCGCCCATTCATTTAACAATGTGTTGTTGAGTCCACTTACCTTTTCGTATACAGATAGTGAGCTACATATATGCTAATCCAGCCTAATCGGATACCACAGCATCATAGGCTGGTCCACATAAACATCTTTACGAGCCAAGAAGTACAGCGTGATTTAATTTCTTTCTCTTGATTTATTTGAAGTGCATTTAATTAGATTGATGTTAACAACGCTGGCGACTGCACGAGGAAAGCGTCTGTTTGGGGCGTGTGTACGTACGTGGACCTTCGGCTGGCATTGATTGGCTGCATCTTTCCATTTTGCGCGGATCCGAGTGAGGTCTGCCGCATTGATAACCGCGTATTAGGTAGGCCAAGTGAAAACGGGACAGTTTTCCATACGATATGTATAAACATTGTAATTGTCAAAATTAATGAAGCAGTGTACGCTGTGCAATACTGAAGATTTTCTATTTTTACGGCCAAATCACGCTGCTGCTGCTTCGACGTTGCTTCACTGCCATGCCTATAACGCATTTCGAGAATCCTAGCAGTTTCTCAACGTGCGAAGAACGTACACGAGGAAGTCGAAGTCTTGAGACTGACGGCACAGGATTCAACATGCACCGGAAGCAGAGCGTTCGTTGATTTCGCTGCGCAGACAGACAAACGACAGACAAAACGAAAAACGGCTTCTTTTTGGGCAGACCATTCTATTCCCAACTGCTTAGTAAAGACAGATAACGAACCCGGCCAATCCATTGGAGATCCTCTTGGGGTCACTTCTTGCAAGTTTTGGTGTTTTTATTAGACGTAGTTGTTTTGTATGGACATGATACACCTTAAATAGCTTACATTACTAGAAACCGTGATTATAATAATAATAATTGTCGTAAGAGGCATCGACAGATATACGTGCGCTCGAGTGGAAGACGGCGGTTGTTTGCCGCCATCTATGTTATTCGGTTTATAGCTAGATCAGCCGCTTAAAACAGGCGCTTCGAATTTGGAAACTACAAACAGCAGAATTCGTACTTACCAGCCATGCTAGCCAGTACAAGCCAATACCTGATTTGCGATAAGCAACCGGACTAGTACACATGCCCAGAAATCGCGAGCACAAGTCATAAAAAGTAATTAAAATCAATTAAGACTGTGCTTACTAGGAACAGTCATGGTCACAGAGAGACGGGCCCGACTACCAAAAGTGACAATCGGTAGGCCGCAAGTGCACATGCACATGCGAGAGGTAAAACGATGGATGAATCACAGGAGAAGGGAGAATTTGGTCTGCCCTGTGTCTGCCCGTGGCCGGTCCATCGCGCGTGCAGTTTTTCGCAAGGCGAAAGAGGCAAGCATTCCTTTCAAACGCATGACGCGGTGCCTCCGAGTCATGGTATCTGTAGCATGGGTACTAGCCGCTTGCTTATCGCAAATTCCAAAATGTTTTGTCTGTTACGTCGACCGTCCCACGTTCGGATGGTCTTAATGCTGTTATTGTTTTGTAATGTGATGTTTCTGAATGTAATGTTTAAAATCCTCGCTAATAACCAACTCAATAAAATTAAGAGACGCCGCGCGTCAGTGCAAACAAGGCAGTGTGCCCAGTGCAGTGCCAATAGCAGTTCACGGTTACTACTTACTAGTAATCGCTACTCAGATTATGGCCGTCAAAAGAAACGCCGGCCTCGTTTCTATAAAGTAGAGCAGCCGATTTATCAGCAGAGCTATCCGCACGGCTAGTGATTGGTTGACCTTTTGACCGGTCGCCATCTTGCTTTGTTCATTCCGCTGCACAGCATTCGCCGCGCTGCGGCTAAGCTCATTTGCGTTCTTTGTCGTTGGCTGCACTAAAAATTCGGAGTTGATTTATGATTTGGAATTGGTTCGCTAGTTATTTTATTCTTCCTTTTCGGAAACAGCTCTTGCGCTTTTTTATTCGTTATTATTGATTGGTTTGACTGCCCACTAATTTTCGCGCTACGCGAGTAAAGGCACAATTTTCCTAATTTTTTAAAATTTTGTATCTGAGCTGTCGTTTCAGGAGGAATAACTAGGCTTCCAACCATGCCCAAGAGGCAGTACGCCAACAGCGTGGACATCCTGGGTGACGACGGGATGATGCGGCGTGGACGCGTGGTGGACTTGGCGTACCACGGACTCTTCATCGATCTCCTCTGTCCCGACCGACACCGGGAATTCGTCCCATTCGACAGACTCTTCCCGCCTTACAAGAAGGTAAACGGTAATCGGCCTCGTACTGTTTATAAAGAGTTTTCCACTGTAACCGTTGAAGCTCTCGTTCCAGAATCGCCGATGGGTCCGTGGATCTGGCTCCCGGGTGAGGCGGTAATTTTCGGATCCGGCGTGCCGCCGGACGAGCAGACAATCGGCCCCGTGGTCCATGTTCGCCGTACGACAAACGGAACTTCGCGCACCGAGGTCGTTCCCAGTAATCGAATTCGTAGGGAAGGTTCGCGCGAACCGATCCGTCCCGGGACTTTCGTTAAGGATAGCGTGCAGTTGGATGGTCAGTTTCGCTCAATGTCCGCGGAGAATGCCGAGACACTCATTCAGCGACTGAATTATGAAGTAAATCACGGGCACTTTGGTTTCACTATTAACGTGGTGAGTTTCGTTGACGCTCGGTTAGAGTTCATCCCGTGGCGGGATTTCACCCGCCCACCAGACTGGCATTATCGACCTGCTGATCGCGTTTGGGCTCGATCAATTGTACTGCGCGCATTCTGGAACGTCGTTGCGGAATTGTATGGCGAGCTCAGCAGAAAATCCAACGTTTCACGCGACGATCAAGCAAATAACCCACAGACGGAATCGCTTCCGTTGGAATTGTTGGTAGAGGTATTTTTTACTTGGAAACCGCAAAGCAGACCGAGTTACGCAGCGTCTGCGCAGCGTGGAACTCGATGATGAACGCGCCAACGCTGCTTGCTTGCATCATGATCATAGATGGCTATGATTATCGGTGGGATCGCGGATTCTCCGGCTTGGCGACGGTATTCAAACGCTTGTATCCTGGCACGCAGCACGTGATACTGGTGAACGATAGGAGCTTGACCAACCAGCGCATTACGGGCATGATGCGGTTGTGCAAGATGATCGGCTATGTCGCTCAGCAGCGACCCGGAATCCGCCTGCGAAACGTGGTGCTCCGCGGTTTCCAGTTCAGTGTGCAAGTGGACTGGTCCGCCAACGTGTCCGGATGTCCAGTACATCCGCCGGATCCTCCCGGGTTCCCGCGGAATGGAATGCATCTGTATCGGCTGCAGGATTTGATTGCAGCGTGCAGTCGTCTCCCGTGTAATACCATTCTCATGTCAAACTGTATGGTTCGTTTGGTCTGCTGTAATTATGTTTCAGAATTGCGGCGCCGGCAGCTGACAGCCCGGATTCCGCAACTGCCCATACGTGGGGAATTCGGCTGCTTTGTGTGGGACGCGTTGGAGGCGGCGGTGCCGATGGTGAGCGAATGGAAGCTGCAAGAGCTCTCGCGCTGGATGAAAGGCATTACGGATGGACGCAAGAAATCGTTATGCGCCATGCTGTATGCCACACAATCCTGTGATCCGCGTCCGTCCTCGCATTATAACGGCAAGAAGTGGATGGTGGATGACCTGCAAGATTTACAGGTAGAGTATCTGTCGCCTGTCTGCCGGTATTTCCTTTTGCAGCTGCAGAAGACGTTTTGATAGACTGATGATTTCGAAGCCAGCTGTGGATGACAGCTTGATAATGGTGCTTCAGGTATTTTATGGTTGATAGCTGATGCGCTTTCTCATTTTTTTCATGCAGTAATACCAAAATTGGACATCGGTCTGTTATTCGCCTGTTTTTGCTGGACAATATTTTAGGATCGTTTTTGCTGATTGTAACATCTTTCGTATGGAACTTCACGCTAAGTGGGTGAAAATGGTGCCAGATCCGGGACTGAAGTGGCAGGAGCATCGATAGCTGCTGAAATTGTAAGCTTCTGAATAGTTTTCATAGTGAAAACTTCGCTCGTGAATTTCTAAGCGTTAACTTAAGAAAGTGTACCGGGTGCAATGTAAAAGCTAAAACTTTTAGCTTTTACATAGCTGCTGATCGCACAATCTTTTAGCCTAGAAGAGTTTGCGATCCGCAGCTATTCTTCCAGCGCGCCACCTGGAAGAGGTGTAGGTGACCCAAATTTGAAACCGCATAATTTAAGTGGCTGAAATAAGAGAAATATCGAACTACTGAATGGTTAGATGCAACTGGTGTCTTACAAGGTTATTTGTATGCTGCAGCTACGGAACATACGAAGCCCTAAACGTAGACGATTCTGGCGATTTTGGCGGAAACAAGACGTGAGGCACTTGGATGGAGTTGTCCCGGGGAATCTGCAGCTGACCATCCTGGTGCGGGATTATCCAGACGACGCTGAACTGGCGCCCATCCGCGCGCCCACTCCAATCGATTTCGTGTGTTATGACAAGGGGCTGCTACCACTGTGGTTGGTCCGAATGCGCCGATACTCGGATTTCTAAGCTGTCTTTCTTTTCCTCGGATTGCTGACAAGTCAACAAGTGTACAAGTATACAAGTACAGCAACTTTATGTGTTCTTGGTTGATTTTTTGCTTCCGAGTTAAAAAACTCTTTGGATTTACTCTTTTAATTTCGAATCTGACCTATTGGTGTTTCATACTGGGGTGTCTTTTGATGTTTCTCATTTTAGGTTGTATAATCACGTAATACATTGCATAACTGTGGAATTTTATAACGAAAATAGCTTGAAAATGGGTGAATTGATTCTGAAATTTTCAAGTACCCCAAGAAGAGCAAACTGTCCGGAATTTACGAAAAATAAGCAGCTGGATAATCGGATACGACAGTATCATATACCGGCCCACCTAAACATCTTTACGAGTCAAGAAGTACAGGTTGATTTAATTTGTTTCTCTTGATTTGGCTAATGTGCACTTAATTAGATGATGGCTAACAACGCCGGCAACGACTGCACGTGGTTAAAGCTTTTGTTTGGTGCGCTTGTATGAGTTGTATGTACATGCGTGGACAGTCGCATGCCACTGATTGGCTGTCTCTTTCCATTGGGCGGATTAGAGTTAGTTTTGCCGGATAGATAACCGCGTATTCTTTAGGCCGAGTGAAAATTGGACAGTTCTACCATACGATCTGTATAAACATTTTAATTGTCAAAATTAATGAAGCAGTGTGCGCTGGGCAATACTAACGAGTTTCTATTAATACAGCCAAAACACGCTGCTGCTGTTCGCCGTTGTTTTCCTGTGCTTGGTTCACGTTTTCCCCATATATATTTACGACCGGCTGCGTTGTGTTTTAATTTTTGTACTCGTAAATCTAGAACTATTCTACTGTTATTTGGAATTTAGATCTGCATTGCAGTATTAACAGGCAGACCTTCGTGCCAAGACATCACCAGCATGATCAGCAGACTGCAACATCCTAACAGCGTGGAGTTCTGGGCGACGACGGGATAGTGCGGCGCGGACTCGTGGTAGACGTGGCCGACCACGGATTATTCGTCGATCTGCTCTGTCCTAATCGGCGCCGTGAGTACACTCCCTTCGAACGGCTCTTCCCGGCCCAGACCAACTCTTTGGAGCTTTTCGACACGCGTTACGAAGAGTTTTCCACTACTCCCGTGGAAGTCCTCGTGCCGGAGACAGCGCAGGGTCCCTGGGTGTGGCTCGCGGGTGAGGTACCGGCAGTTCCGTTCGTTGTACCGACAGACAAATATGTTTGCCAGGGATTTTCGTGAATTAAAATCCGCACCCATGCACATGCTGTTGTTCGCCTTACAGTTTTCATTAGTCGGCAATAGTTTATTAGTCATCCAATTACAATGCCTGCGAAAGTTAACATTGCGTAGAATTTTCTGATAAAGCTTCAATGTACCCAGTTCTTAGCTGAGACTATGCCTCGCATCGTTGCAATATCGATTTAATGATTCGACGGTAAACCTGCAGCCTGATGCAGTATTTGCCAATACACGCCTCGCTGGTTCGAAGTGTCTCTGCATCGCAGCTGCGGAAGACTCTAAAGTAGCGTACGAGTTCAGTGCTCGTACTCCGCTGGCGCATCGTGGATAGATTGTTACCGATATCCGTACAAGTACCGTAACTCTACCACTGTTGCCGCTGCTGGTATACTACGTGATAAAAGTCGGTGTTGTGATCAGTTGCACCCGGTGAACGCTTATACACTGTATTACATTCTAATTAGCGTTCCCGTAATAAGCACAGGAGAGAGTATCAAACGACCGGCGATGCTGCATAGCTTGAAGCAGCCACAAAGCGATTGATCCGGACTCCGGAGTGAGTAACGCCTTTTGTAAAATTCGAAAATGGCAATCGATTGCCCCAGTTCAGCTATACATGCTACTGGAGATATCACGCGGCTGAATAAAACGATCACAGAAACACTCAACGGTAAAGCATTTGACGTGACTCTCGTGAGCCATCAAATGCACTCCGAAATTATCGATCGACTGGCCCGCACGACTTTCATCGATTAAAACTGTGGTACTTAGTAGCAGTTGCATTCGGCGTTGCTTTCGGCGTTGCTTCCAAGTGTCAACTCATCGGCCGCGGTTAGGATCCCGTCGCGCTTTCGATATGCTTGTGCCTTCATTATTGCCGTTTCCCCCTTCATTATTGCCGTTTTCTCCATTGCGTGCTGTGCATCTCAGCCGACAATTATTGTGACAATAATTGATCTTTAACTGGAAGCAATGATGATCGGCTGCAATTCACAGCATCGGTCACGGTATCGGCGAATACCGTCCAGCATTACGCTCGCAGCGACTGCCACAGCGCCACGACTGGTGCGCCTTCTCTAGATACAGATTTTCGGGTAGCTAGCAATTATCTTTCGACTACCTACTCGATGCGTCGCCTGGAGTTCTGCATCAGCTACAAGCCTTACATGCCGCCAGAAGAAGGACAGCAAGGAAACAGCTGTCCGTCTTCAGCTAACATGTCAGTATTGTGGGTACACTAAGGTTTCCAAACATCTGGCTATATAGTTCGGCAACCCTTCTACATCTAAACCGGTCCAAGCGAGTAATGACAATCGTTATTGTGGCGTAGTGCAGTGGCACTGATGTCACGATAATGTTGTGTCCGCTGTGACCTCTATGCGGTGTGTTGTCCAGCACGGCAACTGCGGTTGCAGTGTGCCATTGTTGTCCTGATGACAACGATCAGTTGGTTGTTTGCGCCCTCAGTGGCGGTTCATAATATATGAAAGTTAAGTTTACTTTTTTTTGCACTTTATTTCCATGGCTCGATGACAATATCTAGGTCTATTTACGATTAAACGAAAAAGTTTACTCAGCAAATGTTAAATTGGCGCAATCTCAGTATCCCTGTACAGTTGTTTCCCTGTTCATCCCGGCGCCGGCAGCACGGCGCCGTGTGCATCTTGCCTTTCGTGCGTTACAGCTCAATATCACTCGCATTCGTGTTCTTACTGATTAATGCTGTTGCGTTGTTGAAATTACCACCCACCCGCCCTACAGGGCAAACGCTGACTGTTACTTTCTCTGACATGTTGCCGCAAGTTGTACGTATTCTGCTATGCGTATTGCACAGGTCTTTATAAATAAAAGGGGGGCGAAGGGACCGGGCACAGGCACCGGGCACAGGTCATGCCGGCACTTCTTCAAACCTCAGTTACCGCACGGGAAGTCTGCAATCTCACAGCCTACCGGGTTCCAGGATACGGAATTCGCATACAATTTAAATACGTATTGTGCCGCCACCTCAAGTCGTGACAGTTATTGACAACGGTTAATGCTGTTTTAAGAAGATTAATTTTCCCAGCTCCAGTAACTGACTCGGAACGCTCTCTCGCTTTCCTTTTCAATCTCCGGTGATGAAGTTGCCGCAAAGTGTACCGGCCACACCACGAACGAAGCGCCAAAACTGAGAGCTGAAATCAGAAATCTAGTAGCTAATTCCATGGAGTTACTGAAATTATGATTTCAGTAATTCCATGCAGTTCTCAGCTCTTCATTTGTAAACTTTTTAGCGGTGCAAAGCGTCTGTGTGATAGCGTTATGAGTGAAACAACTTAACCTTTTTTATTTAAACTTTGATACAGTTAAAGACTTAATACCTTGTCGCACGTCTCGCACCTTTCTCTGAAATTTTTTTCTTTATTTGATGGAAATGCGTCGTTCGGCCTCTTTTCGGCAATTTCAGAGGGACAACTGAAGAGAAATTAAGCAGATGCGACTACAGAAAGGAAGGAACTACTCTTCGACGGAATTTTAGTGATTTGCAATTATTATCGACAATTATTTTCAGCCGGGTGTCTCTATGCCGTTATTGCAGACTTCAGGAGAAATCGTTATCGAGATTTGAATAATTTTAGCATTGACAATGTATCAGAGAACAATAAGACACAACAGTTAGAGCGCTCGATAATCGGAATTCACGTTCAATGCTAATCAGTAATCGGCAACTACATGGCAAATGAAAGGATCATTAACGTAAAAAACTGAACGCTACGAAAGGTATTACAATCTACAAAAAGGTTGCTAAAATATTGTCCAGAACACAACAGAAAAAAAACGAGAGCGAAGTCATAAGTTGCGTGAAGAAAAAAGAAAGCGCAACTCTCAACCCCAAAATCCCAGGGCGTCATTTAACAATCTGTCATCCACGAGCCATGGCTCCAAAATCGTCAGTCCTTCAACACCTCTTCTGAACCTGCAAGAGAAAATACCGGCAGATACGCGACAGAGTCTCTACCTGTAATTCATGCAGCTCATCCACCACCCACTTCTTTCCATGGTAATGCGCCGACGGACGCGGATCAGAGGATTGTGTGCCATACAGCATCGCACATAACTTTTCCTTGTGTCCATTCGTAGTGCCTTTCATCCAGCGGGACAGCTCTTGCAGGAACCATTCGCTCGCTACCGGTGCCGCCGTCTCCAACGCGTCCCATACAACGCAGCCAAAATCCTGACGTACTGGCAATAGCGGAACCTTGGCTGTGAGCTGCACACGCCTATTTTCAAAAACATAATTACAGCAGACCAAACGAAGCTCGCAGTTTGACAAGAAAATGGTGTTACACGGGAGACGACTACATGCGGTGATGAAATCCTGCAGACGATACAGAGGCGTTCCATTTCGCGGGAACTCGGAAGGAAGAGGCGGATGCACCAGACATGCGGATACGTTGGCCGACCAATCCACTTGCAGGTTGAACTGGAAACCGCGGAGCACCACGTTTCGCAGGCGGATTCCGGGTCGCTGCTGAGCGACATAGCCGATCATCTTGCACAGCCGCATCATGCCTGTAATGCGCTGGTCAGTGGTCACGCTTTTCTCGTGTACCAGTATCACGTGCTGCGCGCCAGGATGCAAGCGTTTGAACACGGTTGCCATGTCCACGAACCCTCGCCCCCATAAGTACTCAGCGACATCTCTGATCATGATACAAGCACACAGCGTCGGCGCGTCCATTATCGAGTTCCACGCTGCACAGACCCTGCGCAGCTCGGTCTGCTTCGCGGTTTCCAAGTACGAAAACACTTCCACCAGCAAATCCAACGGAAGCGATTCTATCTTTACGTTGTTTGTAGGATCCTCGCTTGGAACTTTCGATTTTCTGCTGCGCTCGCCATGAAGTTCCGCATCGACGGTCCAGAAAGCGCGCAACACATCTGACCGAGCCGAATCCCGATCCGCAGGTCCATAATGCCAGTCCGGCGGGCCGGAAAAATCCCGCCACGGAATGAAATCCAACCGGGCGTCAACGAAACTCACCACATTAATCGTAGAACGAAAGAGACGGTTGTTCACTTCAAAATTCACTCGCTGAATGAGCGTCTCGGCATTCTCCGCTGACATGGAGCGAAATTGATCGTCCAGCTGCACGCTGTCCTTAACAAACATCCCGGGACGAATCGGTTCGCGCGATCCTTTCCGGCGGATTCGATTCCCGGGGACGATCTCGGTGCACGGCGTTCCGCTGGGCGAACGGCGAACATGGACCACGGGGCCGATACTCTGCTCGTCCCGCGGCACACCGGTTCCAAAAACCACCGCTTCACACGGGAGCCAGATCCACGGACCCATCGGTGATTCTGGAACGAGGGCTTCAAAGGTTACAGTGGAAAGCTCGTTATAAACAGTGCGAGGCCGATTACCGTTTCCCTTCTTGTATGGTTTGTAAGGCGGGAAGAGCCTGTCGAATGGGACGAATTCTCGGTGTCGAGTGGGACAGAGGAAATCGACGAAGAGCCCGTCGAACGCCAGGTCCACCACGCGTCCGCGCCGCATCATCCCATCGTCACCCAGGACGTCCACACTGTTGCCGTAATGCAGTCTCTTGGACATGGTTGAGAAGATCAGGAGTTCAAGTTTCCCGCCTGAAACAACAGTTCAGATGTGGAGTTCAGTAGACGTAGCCGAGTTGAGTGCTTAACTCGCGTAACGGAAGGTTAGTGGGCAATAAAACCGATCAAGGATAATTCATAAAATGGAGATAATATACTTCTGGAAAGGAAAATAATTAGCGAAGAAATTCCAAACCCTAAATCGATTCCTAATTTTCCATGCAGCAAACGATAAATAAAGCAAGTGAGCACAGCCGCTGCCGCGGCGCCAGCAGTCAGTGGAATGAATAGAGCAAGATGGCGTCCGGTTTAAAGGTCAACCAATCACTGGCCGTGTGGTCCGGTGTGGATGGCTCTGTGGATAAATCGGCAGCTTTGTCGAAAGGAGGCCGGCGCTTCTCTAAGCGGCTAAATGACGGCCTTAACCTAATTTAGCGATGAATTGTTTTACTTCTTCTAGTAAGTATTTGCACTGCACTGGCCACATTGGCTTTAAACCAAACAGAAAATCGTGTGTTGAACTGTCTATAATATGTCTCGTTTTCTGTGTTGTAACAAGCAATTGGGAAAAGGACGATTTAATCAAAAAGAGCCCATTCGCTTTGTGTGTCTGTGCAACGAAAATCTAGATACGCTGTGCTTTCGGAGAGTGTTACTGCTATGCCATACTCAAAAACTCCATATTCCTCGTGTGCTTCCGTGACTTTCATAACGTTTTCCTCCGGAAAACTGTTGAAAATAACGTCGGTGATGGCGCTGGTAGATGGTTGAAATTGATGCCGAAAACACAGTACAGTGTACACAGCATTACTGTGTAATCGAAAGGCGAAAGGGTACAAGAAGTTCTAAATTATGGACTAAAATTAGATTAATTTATAATATGCAAAGTCAGCGGTGACCAGATACACGATAATCAGTTGCCAGGATTTTCAAAATTCCTTATGTTCATGGCTCTCAGGGATGTCAGGACGAGGTTCTCGTATAGCAACAGGTTAGGCAGCGTTCTAGCGCTGTGTGTGTTTTGGCATTGTACGGAAGAACATTTTCAGGCGTGCTGTTTTTTTGACAAGTCCTAGAGTCCCATTCACAGCTGATATTAGCATATACACTCGATACTGATTATTCGTATTAGTGATCTATCGCAGTTTCTGTTGATTTTGTGGTTTCTCTTGCCTATATCCGCGTGTATCTGCTGCTGAACCGTTCGTTGGCGCACATTTCGGTTGTCCAATTGCTGCACTTTCTCGTGTCTTTTTTTACGAGTACAGCACGTTTCCCGTTTATTTGTAAACAATTGTAGAAAATCATTGAACAACAGTATACAGATTCAGGTCAGACAGCATTCCTATCACAACTCAAACGTTAACGAACGTACAGCGCTTCAGTGAAGAACTCCCATGCGGCTGCTTTAGTGGGTCTCTAGTCCTTATTCTTGCCCAAGTGCTTCTGCACCACGCCCTTGACAACATTGGCCGCCGCGCCCACCTTCGCGCCATCGCCGGCACTGACACCGGGCGCCAGCGCTCCGATCACGGCTCCCACTACTCCGCCCTTTCCGGCATCGGTCAGAACATTGCGACGACTTCTCTCCAAGGAATACGCATCTACACGACACAGCACAAGGGTTAAACTAAATAATCGCAATACAACTATATTCAAATACACTTACTGGCTGACACGACGAGGAAGACGAGGAAAAAACATGCTACGCGTGCCGACATTTTACAGACTGTTCAGGATTTTGCACGAGTAAAAAGTAAAGAAAAATTAATGTGTAATAATTATGATTAAGTAAAAAGCAGTTAGCTTCGCTTTTATACGCGCGTGTGATTGTTAAGCGGCAAAGAAATTTAGCCCCAAGCTGCATGATAGTGCGCAAGGTGTTATTCCGCTTAGTTTTTCGGTGTTGACGGAAATGTCCCATATAGTGAGTACGGTACTTAATTTAATCGGTTCTTTTGCAGCGACTGGTTTTGTCGAGCAGTTTAATTCGCCATGCGTTATGAGCATGCACCGTGGTTGCTGTGGCTGAATCACGTAGCGCCCGCGGCGCGGTAACAGCTCACTTTCTGCGGTTGTTTCCAGCGCAGCGGCGTTTAATTAAATCGCATATAAAATTAATTAAGAATATTGTATCGTGAAACTGGAAAACACCGCAAGAGGCTAATCTTCTCTGGCTGGCACCTAGAGAAAAAAATTGTGAATATTTATGAAGGGATGGTTGGGTGTTTCGGTCCTGCAAACCGAGCGAATATTATGATACAGTTTCACTGCGATATTTTTTATATGTGAATGTACTGTATTACCGAATAAGGTAATAATCGTCTGGAGAAACCCTGGGCGAACGTTAAAATGTCTCTTTGCACAAAACTGTCGCGCAAACTTCTTAAACTTCGCGGCACCGTAGTGGGCGACCAAGTTAGGAATATTTTATCGAAAAATCCAAATACTATAATAAAGGAACTGCAATGATTTTATACAGGTAGAATACATTAGCTGCACATTGGATAATTATTAGTTAACTCCTAAATTAACACAATTCAGAATAGCCACATTATGTACGTTCCTGCCGGGTTAGTACTATCGATATAGTCATATAGTTGTAAAACCGACATCTGTACCCGCAAATGTCATTACGATTTGTGATAAACCGTTATAATAATCATTATGACTTGCACTGCACATGTACAATTACTACAGTATACAACGATACAGTCGCTGTAAGCAGCGGCAATGGTGCAGCCGGTACATGTACAGTATATGACTGTATGTACCTAGAGCAGTACATGATGTACTTGCTCTATGTACATACCATTGTACTTGTACATAGTCCGCATGTGTGTGAGACATGGAAATGCCTTATGCGTCAGTGCACAACGATACAACTTCCGCCTGTACCGACATCAGGCACACATCACGCAAACCTTGCATGATACTACATTAGGACATGTGAGTTCGGTACATATTTGCATGCATTTTGCCTGATGAGACAATTTAATGCAGTTTGAAGCCATGTTTGTACTGAATACGTACAAATTCCAGCACAGTATCAGAGCTAACACATTACAGCAGATACGTACTAACCTTAGATAAAAATACACGCAGACACCTGTACGGAGCTATCAGTATTCTTTTTTACAATTTCGACTGGAAGCGGCTTGTATAAGACATCACGTTGCTCCACTATTTTGACCATGACCTGCCGCACTGTAACGCAGCACAGCGGCGTCCTGTATCCGATCGTCCTATTATACGAAATTCCTACGGAGCGCTTCGAGAAGAGCTCCAACGGCTGCGGCTACTGGATCTACACGGCTGATATCAGTGTGGAGGAGCAGCCGCAGCACACCGGCATTCCGCCGACCGTCTGGTGCATCACCATCACCGTCAACCAGACCAACGGCGTCGCCTCCGCCAAGATCGAGCCCTGCATCGAGCGCACACAACTGACCAGCCCGGAAACGATACGCGTGGAGTGCGCGGTCAGCGGAACCGTGAGGTAATTATTCAGCCATTTATGCCAATAATTTTAACATTATGTTTTTATTGTACCAGTCACAACAGTACTTAGATCATTTTTGCCTCCTTCTTGTTGCTTAATTTTCCAGGTTTCATGAGTGATTTTTTTGCAGTCTTTCTTCCTTATGCTTCGAAATTCGTAAGCGAAGTTTTAACTATGTATACACCAGTGTTTACTTAAATGTACATTATACTCAAGAAATAAATTATGTATCCATACTAAAATTTATATATACTTTTACTATGTATACGTATCGTTAAATGTACT